AAGTTTTGAAGACGATCTTTGATAATTAAATTAATTATTTTTGCAAAAACAGATATCAGTGCAATTGGTCTAAAATTGGATATCACTTCGAGGTCTTTACCTCGTTTGGGAATTGGGACAATTTTTATTTTTCTCCATTCATCTTTCATTTCGCAGTTCTTCCAAGCGGTGTTCATAGCTGCTAATAAGTTTGATTTCGACAAGTCAGAAAGATGACTTACCATTTCATACGTTACTCCATCGAGCCCTGCGGCAGATGGTTTATTTTTGGTTTTTAAAACATTAGACAGTTCTTCAATGGTCAGATTGCTAGTTGTGTGATGTTTTTCCACAGTAAAGTTGACAGGAGAGTTGTCAGGAACTTGATTTTTTAAATGGACTAGAAACTCCATATCTTTTTCAGGTGACCACTTTGATTGTTCTGTTGTTGTAGAAAGCGAGTTTCTGCACCCACGAACAAGTCTGAACAAACCTTTGGAACTTGGAGCATTGCTTAAGTGCTCAACATTTTTTTTGAACGAGTATTTTTTTGCGTACTTAATAGAATTTTGGAAGTTCTTTTTAGCACTAATAACTTTTTGAGCATTCACATTATTGTTATGTCGATTTAATTTTTTTTGGGCTGCAATTAAGAGCCTGTGATTCCTTTCCACAACTGGATCCCACCACACCTTGGGAGTATTTTTGTTATTAATAGTATAAGTCGCTTTAATTATATTATCCTTGAATGTTTTGTGTATATCATCAAATGATGGATTTAGTGTAACATTTTCCAGGTTTTTAATTAATTTGTTTTTTGCTAGAAATGTTTGAACTTTGTTGGTTGTATTTATTAATTTTATGATCACAGGGTAGTGATGGCTTCCACCAATTGTAGAAGAGTAAACATCCCATGCTATATCTAAAACACTGTTTGTAAATGAGAGGTCTAACACCGAACCCGTAGGCTCAGTCAACCGTTTTTTGAAAGTAATTTTTCCATTATTTAGAGTGCGGAAGCTAGATAAATCAAACAAGTTTTTCACCAATTTTCCACGCTGGGAGTCGAAAGAGTCACCGTATGCTGTATGCCTCGCATTGAAATCACCGCATATAAAAACATTGTTTTTTGACTCAAGAAAGGAGAAAAGTTTATCTAGTTCACTTTTAATATCATTGCACTTTAACGAGTGGGGAAAATATATCGACACCAGCGTTATGTTATTTACGAGGCTGGTGGTTTCACATATTAAAATATCAAAGGGAGTTGGATAAGTTATTTTTTTCACTTTCAGGTTTTTGTGTATTAAAAAAGCAACACCGCCATAATTATCTCCGCGTTTTTTTGAGAGGATGTTATAATTAAATACCGAAGTGGAATTTTTACTTTCATCAATGTTAAATATTTCACTTAGTATACATATGTCAATTTTTAGTTTATTTAAGTAGAATTCTAATGAGCTCTTGTTTTTGTTCAGACTTTGTATGTTGTATTGTAGAATGTTCATTGTGATTGTATTAATTTTGTTTATTGGCTATCGTTTTATAACTATTATGGCTTTTTAGAGGATATCCCGGGTTTAGGGGACTCGATTGCTGTTCTATTTGAGTTTGAAACTGGTGTTGCCGAAAAGGTTTTCTGGAAATTTTTTAAAACGTCCAGACCTTCTGGACAGTTTATAGTCGTAAGTATTTGCGACATTTGCACTGCAAAAACTGAAAAGGCTTTTTCCATTTCAGAGACTTTTGAAAAATTTGGATGTTGATACACTGGCTTGGACGGTACGATCTGCATTGGACTTGCTGTGATGAAATTAGGTTTGGGGTTTGGAGCAGCTACTTTGCTGTATTTCACTTTTGTTAATCTTCTATTTATTTCTTCATGTACACTTCTTTTAGGTTTTGATTTTAAAGTTATTTGGGGGTATTCATTATCATAACCATATTCTGATAAGATATTGTAATAATTTTGCGACACTGGATATTTCTGAATGACCTCTTTCCTAGAAAGGTTGGTCAAGGCCATTATTGTTTTTATGTTTCTCTCTTCTTTCCACTTTGGGCATCTTTTGCTATCTGTAGCAATGTGATCTGTGCTATTGCACAGAATGCATTTTTTGTACTCACAACCGCCTGTACATGTAGTAGTTAACAAGCAATCCGAACATTTTTCATCTTGGCACTGTTTTGGACAGACAAAGTTTTTTCCGCACTCTATACATCTTTTGTAAGTTTTGCAGTGTAGAGCAATATGTCCAAGTCTACCACATCTTTTGCATTGGCGATTAGGGAGAACATAAAGTTCGGGAACGATTTTGCACCCGCACATGAATATTTCTTGGGGGATCCCAACGTATATTATTCCGATTTTGACAGTTTCCGTTGGCTCTATTTGTCCTTTTTCGTTTCTTCTCGTAAATCTGTAGACAGAAATTACATCCATGTCATTATTGTCTTCAATTGACTGTCTTATTGTTTCTCCTAAAATGGATTTAGGAACATTTTTTATGACGTAGAATCTTTGAACGAAACGTTCAGGGATTTCGGCCTTTAACCCTTTTGAAGCTAGAGCTTTGTTTTGGGCAAAAACATTTGCAGCAGAAAAATTGTTAAATGTTAATCTGAAGGTCTTGTATCCGATATTCGCGCACACATAGTTGGTTGGCATTCCTAACGTCTGTAGAAGTGCATATAAATGGAGTTCGGAGTTTTTCCTACGTGAACTGAGTGGGGTATCTGATGTGACCAGCACATGAAATGGCCCTGCATGTCGATCAGTATAATAGTTGGTGGTGTCGTTCGACGCATTGTAATTGTAAAATGATGAGAAATCACGATTTGGTGGTATTTGTGATGTTAGTGGTGAGTTGCTTTTGGTTTTCGGAGTATCGCCATTATCTGGTTTAAAAGCTTTATTTTCATTATTAATGGCAGCTGCCTTTCTTTTATTAATATCACCAGGATGAGGGATTGGAGTTAATGGAGGAGGATCCTCATCCCCATCCATTGTGTATGACAAATTTATATATTTTCAATTTTCAAAAAAATGCACTTTAAATGGAAAATCGAATAATAAAAAAATAGGCACAGAGCACTGTCACAATGTTTTGATATTTATGTTTTGTTGTTATGTTTATCGTCCGTAAACAAAAACGCTGGTATAAAAGAAAAACCGACTATCATCAACAGGTGTTGAGTAGCGACTGATGTTTTCTTTATTGTATAACTTTAATTTATTCCGTAATACAACCCTGTCTACAGTTTGTCTCATGGTGCAATTATAAAAGGTTATACTAGTGTCAATATGAATTTGACAAATTATGTTTGTTAAAATTGGGAAAATTGGGAACACATACAATTTGAAATTGTTCTTTATTAAATATGTTGCCGTATTCAATTTACTCAATCATCCTGCTGGGAACGTTTCATTTTCAAAAAAAAAAAAAAAAAATATTTTTTGTTTGTTTACATTTTTCTGTCAAATGACGTTGACACTAGTATAACTTACAAAAACAAATTTCCATGTGGTTGTTGTATCGTTTGTTGTACAACAACACTTGCTGTTACCTTCTATTATAATACCATGAGTTTGTCATAAAATTCCAAATTGAAAACGCATTGCCACTCCATTTTGCCATACGCCAAAAAAAGAGGAGCGACACAACACTACACAAATTAATCGCTTTAATTTGTTGATAATCGTTTTTGTTTGTAGTTATTATATTTGTTCCAAAAACAATTCAATTTAACACAGATCATAATTAAAAAAAATAACATTTGCCATTCCAAGTTGCCAGACGCGCAAAAAGAGATGCGACATGACACCAATCAAAATAAATTAGTTTAAGTTTTATTAGTTTGATTTGTTTATTTTATTGGTTATTGGCTGAATTGATAAATTATTAATAATTAAAATTAACCTTACATTCGGCTTTGTTAATTGTTTAAACATTTAATTCAAAATAATGCAATTTGACACTGATCATTATGGTAGAAAAACATTTGCCACTCCATGTTGCCATACGCCAAAAAAAGAGATGCGACATAACACCACACAGTTTTGTCAGTTTGATATTTTATTTAATTTGTTGTTGCTTATATTTTATTAATATTAATCTCTACACGTTTTAGTTTTTATTGATATATTTAATAAAAATCAATTAATTTTTACAACGTTATTTATGGTAAAACAACGTTTGCCACTCCTTGTTGACATACGCCAAAAAAGAGATGCGACACAACAACACACACATACTTTTTAGTTCAATTTGTTTATATTATTGGTTGTTGGCTAGTTTAGTATAATAAACGTCATTAAATTTAAACATATACTCGGTTTTGTTAATTGTTTAAACATTTAATTCAAAATAATGCAATTTGACACTGGTCGTTATAGTAAAACAACAGTTGCCACTCCATTTTGCCACACGTCAAAAAAGAGATGCGACCCAGCCACCACACAAAATAAATTAGTTGAAGTTGTTTTTTTTTGTTGTTTTTGGTTACTTGTTATTAGTTGTTGACTAGTTTTGGTATAATCTATTAATTATTAACTTTATAAGGAGTTAACAAGAAAGAAGAGAAAGAGCATTGATCTCTGCAGAAAATAAGAACGGAAATAACATTGGTGTTCAAATTAAATTAAATTGAATAGTTTATAAAAAAATAATTAGTGCCACAACAACAAATTGTGATTGTTTATGTTGTAATTTGGTAATTGTGAAAGTGAAATTAATTGTTGTTGTAGTTATTGTAATTGAAAAAAATAACTAAGACATTTCGTTTGCCTTTTGGTTTCTTATTAGAATTTACAAAGAAATTGAACCATATCAAACAAAAGATTTAAGCAACAAACCTGTTGCTGGTTTCCTTAACAAAAATGAGTCAGTAAAACAACAACAAAAACAATCGCCGTAAAAGAAGTGTTTTATTTGTAATAAAATCGCAGTTTGTTTTTGGATTCATGCATACGTCAAGAGTTGGGTTTTTCTGTTAAACACTTGACATACACCTTCATTATCATGCGGCTGCACTCATCAGCTAGTTCGGTGGCCTTGGTATTGGCTTCGTCGCTGCTGTTGGTCTTATTGACCATTACACCAGAAGTGAATTCTGTTTATGTTTATGGTGAACCAAAATATAAATGTCCGGCAAAGTAAGTTAAGGGGTTAATGCTTTAAATGAAGTTATACGTAGGGGCTGGGTAATGGAGAAATAAAATGACACAAAATTGTGCGAAATTACGATGTTATGATTTAATACAACAACAATAGCCGAAACTAGTTTAAACATACCCTACCTACCTCACAGATTAAGTCTATAGAAGACAATGTTTAATTGAATTGTCTAGAAGATCTTTAGAAGTTCTATGGAAGACCTGTAGAACTTAACCTTTTTCAAATCGAAATATTTTAATTTGATTGTATTTTATTTTTTCCAGACCCAAATTAATCTTCCCCTGTGTCTGTTATAACAACACCGATATTGGCATCTATGTAAGATGTGATAATACAAATTTGGCCACCCTATCGGTGGCCATGCAAAATTTGGCAGCCTTGGAATTACCCGTTGAGGAGCTGACCATCAATAAAGGGCATTTTGGTAAATATTAAAAAAAAATTAATTTTTTTATATTATTTTTTTTTTTATATTTTTCCACTACATTTTTGCAGAACGTCTCTTTGGCCCGCTATTTTCCAAGGTACCCGCACGTAAGATGACAATTATGGATACACCTGTGAATACCCTGGATGATTATGTATTCCATGGCATTAATAAAACACTGGAGGAATTGTATTTTGTAAATACACATTTGGGCCATATATCACCATTGTCGTTTGGGGTAAGTGAAGGGGAGGTTTTTAAAACAAATTTTGAAAAAAATAAGTAATGGATTTTTTTCAATTAGGTCCTGGGCAAACTTACCACTTTAGAAATTGATAAGCATAATTTCACAACACTGCCGAAGAATTTATTTGCCGATCAGTATATAGCCAATACGGTGACTGTGGTGAGGCTTACCAATGGCCTCTTGAATGATTTGCCCATTGAAACATTTCAGGTGAGGATAAAACGGACAACAAAATTAAAAAATTATAAAAATATATTTCTAAAATTTTTAAAGAAGTGCATTTAAAAAAAAAAAAAATAATTTTTTCAAGGCGTGGATTTTTGAAAGAAATATTTTTTCAAGGCGTGGATTTTTAAAAAAAAAAAATATTTTTTAAAGGCGTGGATTTTTTAAAGAATATTTTTTTCAAGGCGTGGATTTTTTAAAGAATATTTTTTTCAAGGCGTGGATTTTTTAAAGAATATTTTTTTCAAGGCGTGGATTTTTTAAAGAATATTTTTTTCAAGGCGTGGATTTTTTAAAGAATATTTTTTTCAAGGCGTGGATTTTTTAAAGAATATTTTTTTCAAGGCGTGGATTTTTTAAAGAATATTTTTTTCAAGGCGTGGATTTTTTAAAGAATATTTTTTTCAAGGCGTGGATTTTTTAAAGAAATATTTTTTTCAAGGCGTGGATTTTTTAAAGAAATATTTTTTTCAAGGCGTGGATTTTTTAAAGAAATATTTTTTTCAAGGCGTGGATTTTTTAAAGAATATTTTTTTCAAGGCGTGGATTTTTTAAAGAAATATTTTTTTCAAGGCGTGGATTTTTTAAAGAAATATTTTTTTCAAGGCGTGGATTTTTTAAAGAAATATTTTTTTCAAGGCGTGGATTTTTTAAAGAAATATTTTTTTCAAGGCGTGGATTTTTTAAAGAAATATTTTTTTCAAGGCGTGGATTTTTTAAAGAAATATTTTTTTCAAGGCGTGGATTTTTTAAAGAAATATTTTTTTCAAGGCGTGGATTTTTTAAAGAAATATTTTTTTCAAGGCGTGGATTTTTTAAAGAAATATTTTTTTCAAGGCGTGGATTTTTTAAAGAAATATTTTTTTTCAAGGCGTGGATTTTTTAAAGAAATATTTTTTTCAAGGCGTGGATTTTTTAAAGAAATATTTTTTTTCAAGGCGTGGATTTTTTAAAGAAATATTTTTTTCAAGGCGTGGATTTTTTAAAGAAATATTTTTTTCAAGGCGTGGATTTTTTAAAGAAATATTTTTTTCAAGGCGTGGATTTTTTAAAGAAATATTTTTTTTCAAGGCGTGGATTTTTTAAAGAAATATTTTTTTCAAGGCGTGGATTTTTTAAAGAAATATTTTTTTCAAGGCGTGGATTTTTTAAAGAAATATTTTTTTCAAAGCGTGGATTTTTTAAAGAAATATTTTTTTCAAGGCGTGGATTTTTTAAAGAAATATTTTTTTCAAGGCGTGGATTTTTTAAAGAAATATTTTTTTCAAGGCGTGGATTTTTTAAAGAAATATTTTTTTCAAGGCGTGGATTTTTTAAAGAAATATTTTTTTCAAGGCGTGGATTTTTTAAAGAAATATTTTTTTCAAGGCGTGGATTTTTTAAAGAAATATTTTTTTCAAGGCGTGGATTTTTTAAAGAAATATTTTTTTCAAGGCGTGGATTTTTTAAAGAAATATTTTTTTCAAGGCGTGGATTTTTTAAAGAAATATTTTTTTCAAGGCGTGGATTTTTTAAAGAAATATTTTTTTCAAGGCGTGGATTTTTTAAAGAAATATTTTTTTCAAGGCGTGGATTTTTTAAAGAAATATTTTTTTCAAGGCGTGGATTTTTTAAAGAAATATTTTTTTCAAGGCGTGGATTTTTTAAAGAAATATTTTTTTCAAGGCGTGGATTTTTTAAAGAAATATTTTTTTCAAGGCGTGGATTTTTTAAAGAAATATTTTTTTCAAGGCGTGGATTTTTTAAAGAAATATTTTTTTCAAGGCGTGGATTTTTTAAAGAAATATTTTTTTCAAGGCGTGGATTTTTTAAAGAAATATTTTTTTCAAGGCGTGGATTTTTTAAAGAAATATTTTTTTCAAGGCGTGGATTTTTTAAAGAAATATTTTTTTCAAGGCGTGGATTTTTTAAAGAAATATTTTTTTCAAGGCGTGGATTTTTTAAAGAAATATTTTTTTCAAGGCGTGGATTTTTTAAAGAAATATTTTTTTCAAGGCGTGGATTTTTTAAAGAAATATTTTTTTCAAGGCGTGGATTTTTTAAAGAAATATTTTTTTCAAGGCGTGGATTTTTTAAAGAAATATTTTTTTCAAGGCGTGGATTTTTTAAAGAAATATTTTTTTCAAGGCGTGGATTTTTTAAAGAAATATTTTTTCAAGGCGTGGATTTGTAAAAAAATTTTTTTTAAAAATATTTTTTCAAGGCGTGGATTTGTAAAAAAAAATTTTTTTAATATTTTTTCAAGGCGTGGATTTTTAAAAAAAAATATTTTTTCAAGGCGTGGATTTTTTAAAGAAATATTTTTTCAAGGCGTGGATTTTTTAAAGAAATATTTTTTCAAGGCGTTGATTTTTTTAAAGAAATATTTTTTTCAAGGCGTGGATTTTTTAAAGAAATATTTTTTCAAGGGTAGATTTAAAAAAAAAATATTTTTTCAAGGCGTGGATTTAAAAAAAAAATATTTTTTCAAGGCGTGGATTTAAAAAAAAATATTTTTTCAAGGTGTGGATTTAAAAAAAATATTTTTTCAAGGCGTGGATTTAAAAAAAAAATATTTTTTCAAGGTGTGGATTTAAAAAAAATATTTTTTCAAGGGTAGATTTAAAAAAAATATTTTTTTCAAGGCGTGGATTTTTGGATTTTTTAAAGAAATATTTTTTCAAGGCGTGGATTTAAAAAAAAATATTTTTTCAAGGCGTGGATTTAAAAAAAATATTTTTTCAAGGGTAGATTTAAAAAAAATATATTTTTCAAGGCGTGGATTTAAAAAAAAAATATATTTTTTCAAGGGTAGATTTAAAAAAAATATTTTTTCAAGGCGTGGATTTTTTTAAAAATTTTTTTTTTAAAAAAATTATTTATTTTTACTTACGATTTTTTTTCACTTTCTTCCAGCCCCTGCGAAAACTGAAGACCCTCGATTTACATGGCAATCAGTTGGAAAATCTGAAACGAAATCAATTTAAAAATCTGCGTGAACTGGAAGTGTTGGATATCAGCTTTAATAAAATCAAAAAACTTGAGGGTCAACATATCCAAGATCTGACGAAATTGGGTTGGTGTAATGCTTCACATAATGCCCTGACGGAATTGTCCCGTGGTGCCTTTGCTCGCAATGCTGTACTGAAGGTGTTGAATTTATCGCATAATAAAATACAAAAATTGGATGCAAATAGTTTTCGTGGTATGCGGTTTTTGAGGTAAGGTCTCTTCAGGATATAATTTTGGAATTGATTTTAAAATTCTGATTTTTTTCTAGACGTCTCTATATGAGCGACAATCGTATTTCGGATGTGGGTAGAGGCACTTTTGGTGCTGTGGCTCGTATTGGTACGATAGATTTGGCCCGCAATGCCCTGAAGAAGGTGGATTATCAAATGTTTACTCAGTTGAATTATATTGAGGTAGGGTTTGGCGGATTTTTTTCGGAAAATTTGTAATGAAAATATAAATTTTTTTTAGATCTTAAATCTGGCTGAAAATAATATAACCTTGATCGAAAAGAATTCCTTTAAGGACATCTATCAATCGGTCATTAATATTTCGCATAATGCCTTGGAGACGATACAACCGAAGGCTTTTGAAAATTGTGTTAATATAACGGTATTGGATTTGAGTTTTAATCGCCTGACGAATTTCTCCAAGGGGGTGTTCGATGAGACCACCTTTGCCACGGAATTTCAATTGAGCCACAATTACTTTAGCAATTTGGCGGATGTAAGTGGATATTGAAAGGGGTAGAAGGCGGCGGGTGGGGGAATCCGAACCTGCTCCTTAGTACCCACTCTCAAAAAAATTTAGATTTTCACAACAAATTGTTAATAAAACATATTTTTTGTTTCAGGTCCCTTTGGAATTCATGAGCGCATTGAAGGTTTTAAATGTCTCCCACAATAATATAACCACAGTACCGAAAAATACCTTCCCCAAGCTATACGAACTTCACACCATCGATATATCCCACAATAATATCAGTTCGATATTCAATGGTGTCTTTCAGACCCTCTTCTCTTTGCGTTTTGTTAACCTCTCTCACAATAGTTTAACGGAAATTAAATCATCAATGTTCGGAACCTTACCCACCCTGCTGGAATTGGATTTAAGTAATAATCGTTTGGTGAATATTGTCCGAGGGGCCTTGGTAAAGCTGGCCAGTTTGAGACGATTGGATTTGTCGAATAATCGCCTGGAGAAATTATTTCAAATTTCAATATCCCTCAATGAGCTACATATGAGTCATAATCGTATTAGTAAAATACCAGCTGGAACATGGCCTGTCATGAATTCATTGCTCTATTTGGATTTGAGTTATAATGAAATTGGAGATTCTCTGGAGGAGAGTAGCTTTAGGGGGTTGTTGGTGCTGCAGCGACTGCATTTGGAGGGTAATGGCATAACAAGGCCTCCTGTGGAATGTTTGGCCGGCATGTCCACCCTGCAGTATTTGTATTTGCAGGTGAGTCCATGGCTACCTCAATAGTTTCGAAGGAAAAAAAATTATTCTCAATTTTTCCAGCACAACAACATCACGGTCTTGGAGAAAAGTGCCTTTGGCAAGCTACCCGTCCTCTTCGAGCTGAATTTACACAACAATGGCCTATCCGAATTGACGTAAGTTCTCAGGACCCTACCCTTAACAATTTTATGAATTTGTATATTTTTTTTGTTCTGATTTTTAGGAAACGTTCCTTTGATGGTCTTTTACAGCTGCTCAACTTGAATATGTCCTCAAATGCCTTGAAGACCATACCGAATGAGGTATTCTTTGGTCTGCCATCATTGAGGAAATTGGATTTGTCACACAATAAGATAAGCAAATTGGATAATAAGACCCATGGGGTCCTGGATGATCTATTGAGTTTGGAAGAGGTGAGGATATTTTTCAAGGCCCAAAAAAAAAAAAAAATATATAGGGTGCTTTATAGGCGTGGATTTTTTAAATAATTTTTTTAAGGGTTCAAACAAGACGTGGATTTTTTATAGAATTTTTTTCAGGGACCCTAAACAAGGCGTGGATTTTTTATAGAATTTTTTTTCAGGGACCCTAAACAAGGCGTGGATTTTTATAGAATTTTTTTCAGGGACCCTAAACAAGGCGTGGATTTTTTAAATAATTTTTTCAAGGGTTCAAACAAGGCGTGGATTTTTTAAATAATTTTTTCAAGGGTTCAAACAAGGCGTGGATTTTTTAAATAATTTTTTCAAGGGTTCAAACAAGGCGTGGATTTTTTAAATAATTTTTTCAAGGGTTCAAACAAGGCGTGGATTTTTTAAATAATTTTTTCAAGGGTTCAAACAAGGCGTGGATTTTTTAAATAATTTTTTCAAGGGTTCAAACAAGGCGTGGATTTTTTAAATAATTTTTTCAAGGGTTCAAACAAGGCGTGGATTTTTTAAATAATTTTTTCAAGGGTTCAAACAAGGCGTGGATTTTTTAAATAATTTTTTCAAGGGTTCAAACAAGGCGTGGATTTTTAAATAATTTTGTTTTCGGGGACCCTAAACAGGGCGTGGATTTTTTAAGAATTTTTTTTTCGGGGACCCTAAACAAGGCGTGGAATTTTTAAAGATTTTTTTTTTTCGGGGACCCTAAACAGGGCGTGGAATTTTTAAAGATTTTTTTTCAGGGACCCAAGGCGAGGATTTTTTAAAGATTTTTTTTCAGGGACCGACCCTAAACAAGGCGTGGATTTTTTAAAGAATTTTTTTCAGGGACCGACCCTAAACAAGGCGTGGATTTTTAAAGAAATTTTTTCAGGGACCGACCCTAAACAAGGCGTGGATTTTTAAAAAGAATTTTTTTCAGGGACCGACCCTAAACAAGGCGTGGATTTTTAAAAGAAGTTTTTTCAGGGACCGACCCTAAACAAGGCGTGGATTTTTTAAAGAATTTTTTTCAAAGACCCTAAACAAGGCGTGGATTTTTTAAAGAATTTTTTTCAAAGACCCTAAACAAGGCGTGGATTTTTTAAAGAATTTTTTTCAAAGACCCTAAACAAGGCGTGGATTTTTTAAAGAATTTTTTTCAAAGACCCTAAACAAGGCGTGGATTTTTTAAAGAATTTTTTTCAAAGACCCTAAACAAGGCGTGGATTTTTTAAAGAATTTTTTTCAAAGACCCTAAACAAGGCGTGGATTTTTTAAAGAATTTTTTTCAAAGACCCTAAACAAGGCGTGGATTTTTTAAAGAATTTTTTTCAAAGACCCTAAACAAGGCGTGGATTTTTTAAAGAATTTTTTTCACGGACCGACCCTAAACAAGGCGTGGATTTTTTAAAGAATTTTTTTCACGGACCGACCCTAAACAAGGCGTGGATTTTTTAAAGAATTTTTTTTCACGGACCGACCCTAAACAAGGCTTGGATTTTTTAAAGAATTTTTTTCACGGACCGACCCTAAACAAGGCGTGGATTTTTTAAAGAATTTTTTTTCACGGACCGACCCTAAACAAGGCGTGGATTTTTTAAAGAATTTTTTTCAGGGACCGACCCTAAACAAGGCGTGGATTTTTTAAAGAATTTTTTTCAGGGACCGACCCTAAACAAGGCTTGGATTTTTTAAAGAATTTTTTTCAGGGACCGACCCTAAACAAGGCGTGGATTTTTTAAAGAATTTTTTTCAGGGACCGACCCTAAACAAGGCGTGGATTTTTTAAAGAATTTTTTTCAGGGACCGACCCTAAACAAGGCGTGGATTTTTTAAAGAATTTTTTTCAGGGACCGACCCTAAACAAGGCGTGGATTTTTTAAAGAATTTTTTTCAGGGACCGACCCTAAACAAGGCGTGGATTTTTTAAAGAATTTTTTTCAGGGACCGACCCTAAACAAGGCGTGGATTTTTTTAAAGAATTTTTTTTCAGGGACCCTAAATAAGGCGTGGGTTTTTTAAAAGAATTTTTTTCAGGGACCCTAAAGTTTTTAAATAATAAATGTTTCCTCTTTTTTTAGCTCAACCTAAGCCACAACAAAATAAGTTTTGTCACCAAGAAGACATTCCCCGAAAATCCCTATATCCCCTATAATCTGAAATATTTGGATTTGTCCTACAATCAAATGCCTGTTCTAACCTACGATATTACCTTCGGAACGAAGAAGTTACTGAAATTGAATTTGTCGCACAACAGCATCAACGAATTGAGACGTGGTGTCCTTGGCAATTTTACCCGCCTACAATATTTGGATCTGTCGTATAATGAACTATCAAATTTGCAATCGGAAGCCCATCTCTTCGATTTACCGAAAAATTTAACGGAAATCTATTTACAAAATAATCAAATCTATCGTCTGCCCTTCGCTCAATTCCTGCGGAAGGAGGAACAATTTAAGACCATCGATTTAAGAAATAATAGTTTGACAGAATTCCCTCTTTCGTTGGTGTGGAATTTGCGGAATGGTACAGATGTTAGGTTTGAGGGTAATCCATTGCACTGCACCTGTGCAGCAAGGCCTTTGAAACATTATACCCTGCAGTTGGCGGAGTTGACGGAGGATTTGAGAAATGTTAACTGTGCAACGCCAGCGTTGAATCGAAATAAGTTCCTTAGAGAGGTGGAGGATGAGACTTTGCAGTGCCCGGAGCCGGATGAAAGGGAAATGTACAAGGGATTGGAATATGATAAGCTGTCGGATGTACGTTTTCGTGATATTGTGGTGTAAGTTTTTGCAACATATTTTGTAAAGAGAATCATTTCTAATTTCCCTCCCTTTCCCCCTTTTCAGACACAACGGCAACATCAGTGTCATTTGGTTTGTGGTCACGTCCAGAGATGTCGCTGATTTCATTGTCTTCATACGTGATCGTGACAATAATATTTTATATCGTGAAGATTTCCTCTATAACATTCGCCAGGCCGATATTCCGGTGTCGATGTTCAGCGACAATTTCGAGTTGTATCGTGAGATTTGTATTATCTCCAAGGATAGCAATGGAGAGACTGGCAATTGGTTCCATGCCCAATGTGATGAGCTGCCACCGCTGAAGGAGGAACGTCGTTTCTTTTTCTTTGCCTCCGCACCATCACGTGGTCGTACCAAGTCTCGTTCGGCAGCTTCGATGTCTGTGTGGCAGCCAAGTGTGGGAGTCGTGGTTGGTAGCCTTTTCTTACTCAGAGTTATGCTCAATTGAAATTGTGATATTGCGGATACAAGGACATGGTCTTGTATCCTTTGGTGAAAAAAACTCAACACTGCCACTAATCTAAGTACCTTTGCTTTTGTTTAATATTTTCGGTTCTTCCTCTTCTTCTTTAAATGAAATTGTTAATTTATGTTTATTTTTTTGTAAATATTTTTTTAAATGATCCTTGTTAATACTCAAATGAAAATAAAATGGAACAGAAGAAAGAGCAAAATCGGGTTTTTTTAATAAAAATCTCTCACAATGGATCAATGGGAGCTATATCTAAATCTGAACCGATTTTCACGAAACTTGGCAGACATCATTCTGCACTTAATTTAGTACGCTATGCCAAATTTCGTGCAAATCGAAAGATATATAGGGACTTTGGTGCACCATTTACATAAAATCGGACGAAACTATATATGGGAGCTATATCTAAATCTGGACCGATTTTCACGAAACTTGGCAGACATCATTCTAGGCTCAATTCAGTACCTTGTGCTAAATTTCGTGCAAATCGAAAGATATATAGACACTTTGGTGCACCATTCCGACGAATATATATATGGGAGCTATATCCAAATGTGGACCGATTTTCACGAAACTTGGCAGACATCATTCTAGGCTTAATTTAGTACGTTAAGCCAAATTTCGTGCAAATCGAAAGATATATAGGGACTTTAGTGCACCATTTACAATAAATCGGACGAAACTATGTATGGGAGCTATATCCAAATGTGGACCGATTTTCACGAAACTTAGCAGGCATCACTCTAGGCTCAATTCAGTACGTTATGCCAAATTTCGAACAAATCGAAAGATATATAGGTGCACCATTTACATTAAATCGGACGAACATATATATGGGAGCTATATCTAAATATATATATATATGGGAGCTATATCTAAATCTGAACCGATTTTTCCCAATTTAAATGGGGTTCGTCCTTGGGACAAATAAATGAGCTGTGCCAAATTTCATCGAGTTCGGATTATAAATGCGACTTGTACTTTGTTTACAATTTAACACCAACAGACGGACAGACGGACATGCCTAAATCGACTCAGAAAGTGATTATATGCATATTCTCAAAAGGAACTATGAGTTTTGTCTAGGGTCCCCGAAAAAAAAATTCTTTAAAAAATCCACGCCTTATTTAGGGTCCCTGAAAATAATTATTTAAAAAATCCACGCCTTGTTTAGGGTCCCTGAAAAAAATTATTTAAAAAATCCAAGCCTTGGTAGGGTCCCTGAAAAAAATTATTTAAAAAATCCACGCCTTGTTTAGGGTCCCTGAAAAAAATTATTTAAAAAATCCACGCCTTGGTAGGGTCCCTGAAAAAAATTATTTAAAAAATCCACGCCTTGTTTAGGGTCCCTGAAAAAATTCTTTAAAAAATCCACGCCTTGTTTTGGGTCCCTGAAAAAATTCTTTAAAAAATCCACGCCTTGTTTTGGGTCCCTGAAAAAAAATTATTTAAAAAATCCACGCCTTGTTTTGGGTCCCTGAAAAAAAATTATTTAAAAAATCCACGCCTTGTTTAGGGTCTTTAAAAAAATTCTTTAAAAAATTCACGCCTTGTTTAGGGTCCCCGAAAAAAATTCTTTAAAAAATTCACGCCTTGTTTAGGGTCCCCGAAAAAAATTCTTTAAAAAATCCACGCCTTGATTAGGGTCGGTCCCTGAAAAAAAAAAAATCTTTAAAAAATCCACGCCTTGATTAGGGTCGGTCCCTGAAAAAAAAAAATCTTTAAAAAATCCACGCCTTGTTTAGGGTCGGTCCCTGAAAAAAAAATCTTTAAAAAATCCACGCCTTGGTAGGGTCCCTGAAAATAATTCTTTAAAAAATCCACGCCTTGTTTCAGGGTCCCTGAAAAAAATTCTCTAAAAAAATCCACGCCTTGTTTAGGGTCCCCGAAAAAAAATTCTTTAAAAAATCCACGCCTATAAAGAAGCTTGGGAAAAATTATTAAAAAAATCCACGCATATAAAGGACCCTGAAAAAGAGTCTGATTTTTTTTTTTATAAAATCCACGCCTTTTTTGTACTTGGAAAGCAATTATTTAAAAAATTCACGCCTATAAAGGACCCTGAATAAGAGCCTGAAAAAATTATTTAAAAAATTCACGCCTATAAAGGACCCTGAATAAGAGCTTGAAAAAATTATTTAAAAAATCCACGCCTATAAAGGACCCTGAAAAAGAGCCTGATTTGTTTTAAAAAATCCACGCCTATAAAGAACCCTGATAACGATCCTGCAAATTTGTTTTAAAAAATCCACACTTTGTTTAGACTTTGTAACGTGACCGCTACATGTCGAGATATAGGAAAGTAATTCTCATTCACTTTGTATTGTCGTACAGATAAGTGTTCCAGTTTTCATTGGCAGAGATTGTCGAGAGCTGGAGTTAGACCAAGTACTAGAGAACCCAACTTGTGGCAGTGTCCGCAGTCGCCGTACCTTGTACTGAACATAGCCGAAGCCTTCGACCTGCGATTCCTTCGTTTCCGCGACTCGTTTGCTTCCGCGACCCGTTCGCTTCCTGCAATTCGTTCGCTTTCGTGACTCGTTCGCTTCCGTGACTCGTTCGCTTCCTGCGACTCGTTCGCTTCTATATAACTCTCGTTTCAGAAGGAGTTTGAACGAAGGGCCAACGAATTACTACAACCCGAGTCGACTACTCAATCCGAGCCGACTATTTAAACCCGAGCTGAATACTTCAACCCGAGCCGACTACTTCAACCCGAGTCGACTACACAATCCGAGCCGACTACTTCAACCCGAGCCGACTACTTCAACCCGAGTCGACTACTGCAACCCTCGTTCGCTTCTATATAACTCTTCTCGTTTCAGAAAGAGTTTGAACGAAGGGCCCCACCGATTACTACAAGCCGAGTCGACTACACAATCTGAGCCGACTACTTCAACCCGAGCCGAATACTTCAACCCCAGCCGACTACTACAACCCGAGCCGACTACTACGACAATCCGAGTCGACTACTTCAACCCGAGCCGACTACTATAATCCGAGCCGACTACTACAATCCGAGCGACTACTGCAACCCGAGCCGACTACTTCAACCCGAGCCGACTACTATAATCCGAACCGACTACTATAAGCCGAGTCGACTACTTCAACCCGAGCCGACTACTACAATCCGAGCCGACTACTTCAACCCGAGCCGACAACTACAACCCGAGCCGACTACTACAATCCGAGCCGACTACTTCAACCCGAGCCGACTACTTCAACCCAAGCCGACTACTACAATCCGAGTCGAATCCAACCGACTATTTAAACCTACACAACCGATGCCGACTACACAAATGCAGCTGAGTGACACAATCGGAGCCTACTAGCTATAATTATAGGCCGATTACAGTAACCCTACCAGCCCGAAGAAACGAGTCCCAACACACCGAAACGACAACCAACGAATTAATAACTCCATCGTATTGAATATCCCGCATGTTACTCTCTATCTAAACACAGAAGTATTACAATAAAGAATTTAACTTAAGGTTTGTGGGTCCTTGAGTTGACCCTGGCTGCAACTGAGCTTACTTCAGCCTTAGACAAAAATACTCGTTATAACTTGGAAAAAATATTAAAAAAATCCACTCCTTATTTGGACTCTGAAAAAAAAAAATATAAAAATTCAAAGGATCCTGAATATTCTTTAAATCTAAATTACCCTTTTAATTTCTCCATGTGTTTTTTTTGCCCCCTCCCCCTCTTTATTCCCTTGAGTGTCCACTGCCATACACCTGTCACAATTACCATGTGTTCGAAATGAAAAGCTTTTTATGGAAAGCTCTCCTTACGAAAGGACTCTCTCTCTCTCTTTTGTAAATATTGATTATTTTTCGTGGAAATACCATCACATAAAAAAACCAAAAAAGAGGGAGAGAGGAAGAGAGCGAGAGAGAGAGAGAACCCAAGTGGACAACCAAGTAGAAGAAGAGGAAGCACCAGCCAGCCAGGATAACAATGAAATGAACAACTGAAACACGATGAGCATGAATGTCAGCTTTTTATTACTCGTGGGCCATCCGTAACGTCAACGTCGAAAAACTAGCGAGCGAGCAAGCAAAGCGAACCCCAAGAAAAAAAAAAAATAGAAAGAAAAAAAGTGATAAATTCAAAAAGAAAAAAATTAAAGGCAAAGGCAAATCAAAACGAGGAACCTACTAAAATTTTTGATTAAATAATAAAAAAAAAAATATTAACGAAAAATAATTAAAAAAAAAATTAAAACACTAAAACGTGGGGAGTAGAGTTACGTTACGTGGAAATTTAAAGCAAGAAAAAAAATTAAAACCTTTTTTTCGGGAAAAAATTTTTGTTATATAAAAATTTGCAAAGGAAATCCTAAGGAAAAAATTTTCAGAAAAATGTTTGCAACGGAAAAGGCTATGTAACGAAAAAAAAAGAAAAAACTACAAAGAAAAATAAATCAATGTAAGAAAAAAAATTAAAAAAAAAAATTTAAATTAAAAAAAGGAAATCTTAAAAAAATTAAAAAAAAAATATAGTTTGTTAAAATTGCTTTATGTAGGTGTGTGTCGTCTCCTCTCTGTATATGTGTGTGCGAAAAATGAAATGAAAAGTTTTGCCTTCACACAAAACTCACACACACTCACACACATATGTATAGACTTACTTGAGGGCGAAAAATCGTTAAATGAAAAGTGAAATTCTCGTCCTTTTTGCATTGAGAGTGTGTGCCTCCAAACCGAGAGTGTGTGTTCGTGTGTGTGTGTAGTTTATGTGCCTCTTCTTTTTCTTCTCATCCTCTCATATGGGTTAAGCAAAAAGGCACCTTGAAATTTTTTTAAAGTGTTTTATAACACACACATAGTACAACCAAAACAACAATAACAACAAAAAGGATTTATTTTTTAAAGGACAAAAATTTAATCGCAAAAAAAAATAATAAAAAAAAACTGGTTGACCCTTAGAATCAGGAGGAAGGCTAACCAAAAAAATCCTGCTGATAAACAATTTCGATATTGCCTTGTTGTAGGATTTCTTTGGGGGGTCTTTTATGTAAGGACCATTCAAAAAAAAAAAAAAAAAAAAAAACATTGGCAGAAGAAGAAGAACCTGCAGAAAAAACAAATTTTGAAAAAGCGTGATTGGAAAAAAATTGACTAAATATTTTTTTTCGGATGGCCAAAACCCTGGGCCATTATTTTTATTGATAAGCCAAGCAACCAAATCACCAAAAAAGAAAATCTCAGAAGTGTAGGACAAAAAAAAAAAACGATGACGAAGAACCTCAATCATCGGTCGTGGTATCGGTCATATTCAATATATATATAGTTATCTACACAAATACACATACATATATAATAGCTTCCTTTACTAAACAAACCTGGTGGTATAGGTGTAACAGTGTGTCTGTGTGTGTGTTTGTGTGCCAAAAAAGTGAATGTGAAGTGATTGAACAACAACAACAAAGAAAAGAAGGAAAAGAATGAAATGAAATGAAAAAAGGCAATAATAAAACCAAAACCAACAACAACAACTATAATTACATAATCAACAAAAAAGTACCTACATATATACATAACTATAGAAACATATATATGTAAACACATACATACCTATATAAGCAAACCAAGTTTAATCTGTGTGTTTAAATCGGTTTTTTTCCTTGAGCCGAAAAAAATCAAACCCTTACAAAAAATTTCAAAAATTTTTTTTAGAAAGTTTCTGAGTGTTTAAATCGTATTTTTTTCCTTGAGCCAAAAAAAAAAAAAAAAAAAATCAAACCCTTCAAAAATTTTTTTACCAAAGTTTCTGAGTGTTTAAATCGGATTTTTTACTTTAAAAAAATTCAAACCCTTCAAAAAATGTTTCGTGTGAAGTAAGTAAATCATAGATGAATGAAAATTAAACCCCCAATACCCCCTTGGAACCCCCTCAAAAAAAAAAAAAAAAAAAAAAAAACATTTCGCATACAAACCAACAAATCAGCCAACCAACCCGAACCAAATCGAACCCAACAACATCATCAATGACATCAAAAGCAGGGAAAGTGGCAACTGAAAATTCGTTTCGATTTTAGTTTGACTGAATGGCGAACAACAATAAAAACAACAAAATCATAAAAAAGTAGCAAACAAACAACAACAATAACTAATGAAATAATAAAAGACAAATAACAACAACAAAAATAGCAAAAACACCAACTAATAAGGAATAAGGAACCAAAGAAAGAATGAAAACGGAAAACAAAAACTTTCAAGAGAACATCATCGTCGTCATTTTTTTTGAAAGGCCCTAAACTAATGAGAGAGTAGCAAATATGTTTCTGAGAAAGAGAGAAAATAATAAAAGAAAGAAGAAGAAGAGATGAAAAGAAAGGAAAATAAGAAAAACTATAAACTTTCTTCAAATTTTTTACGTCATTTTGACATTTTATTTGCGAAAAACGGAAATTATGACAGGCTCTTTGGAGAGGGAGGGATAGCCAGTAATTCGCATTACAGCACACACAAAATGAAAAAAGAAAATAAAAACAACAACAACAAAATTATGTTGTTGTATTAATAAGCCACACAGAGATTAGGTTAGGCGATTTTGTAGTTTCAAAAAAAAAAAAAATATTTAAAAATATATATTGAAGAGGTCTGGAGGTCAGACAAAAAAAAAACTGCAAAAAACAGTAGATGGATCTTTTCACGAAGCTTAGCACACATGATTCTAGCCTTAATTCAGTATGCAATGCCAAAATTCGTGAAATCAAAAGATTTCTAGGGACTTTGGTGCACCAAATACCTAAAATCGGGCGAAACTATATAAATCTGAACCGATCTTCACGAAACTTTGCACACATTATTGTAGACTTAATCCAGTAGGCTATACCAAATTTCGTGCAAATCGAGTGATTTTCCGAGACTTTGGTACACCATTTATGTAAAATCGGACGAAAATATATATGAGAGCTATATTTAAATCTGAACCGATTTTCACGAAACTTTGCACACATCATTCTAGACTTAATTCAGTTCGCTATGACAAATTTCGTGCAAATCAAAAGATTTCCAGGAACTTTCGAGCATTATTTACCTAAAATCGGAAAATCTAATTGGGAGCTATATCTAAATCTGAACCGATGTTTACGAAACTTCAAACACATCATTCTAAACTCAATTCAGTACGCTATGAAAATTTTTGCATTATTTACCTAAAATCGGGCGAAACTATATATGGGAGCTATGCCTAAATCTAAACGGATCTTCACGAAACTTAGCACACATTATTCTAGACTTAATTCAGTACGCTGTCACAAATTTCATGAAAATTGAAAGATATACAGGGACTTTGGTACACCATTTACCTAACATCGGGCGAAACTATATATGGGAGCTATATCTAAATCTGAACGGATCTTCAAGAAACTTTGCACACATAATTCTAGAGTTAATTCAGTACGCTATGACAAATTTCGTGAAAATGGA